GGAAGCATCCAATGATTCAGATATTGGAATCTCGCTATTATCACTATCTGAAGCAGCTGTATTTAAGGCTGGCTCTTACTCTTATTAAACACCTCCCGAATATTTTATTTTCGCTTCGGAAATCTATCCATTTATATTACAACTTCATTTATTTGCTTGTTAAACTTCTCTTGGTGTGCTTATTTTTGAATTTTTATTCTAGTGCTGCACGTAATAAAATTACTGGTGAAGGTGTTGCAATCAAAAAGGTTACCAATGTTTTCAATAAAACCATCTTAACAAAGCGTGCTCTTCGTGAAGTAAAGTTGTTACAACACTTTAGAGGTCATAAAAATGTAAGCAATTGTTGTGATATATGTAATCTTTCATCTAATCATTAATTATTTTCCCAATGTTCATTTTATCCCGATAGATCACATGTCTGTATGATATGGATATAATTAATCCTAATGATTTTAATGAAATGTAAATAAAGCTAATGTATTTTTTCTTTTTTTCGTTCTGAATTAAACCTATAAAACTTTAAAATAACTTATTTCCAACCTTTAACAAGATATCTATATGAAGAATTAATGGAAGCTGATCTTCATGCTATTATCCGTTCTGGCCAACCACTTACGGATGCTCATTATCAAAGCTTTACTTATCAAATATTGTGTGGATTAAAGTATATCCATTCAGCAAATGTATTACATCGAGATTTAAAACCTGGTTTGTATTAAAAATTTTTAAAAAAAAATTATAATAATATTTAATTAAATTTTATCAATTAATTTGTTAATATTTTTAATATTTAATAGGAAATCTTCTTGTTAATGCTGATTGTGAGCTCAAGATCTGTGATTTTGGTCTTGCACGCGGCTTTTCAGAGGATCCTGCTGCAAATTCTGGTTTTATGACAGAATACGTTGCCACAAGATGGTATAGGGCTCCTGAAATCATGCTTAGTTTTCAAAGTTATACCAAAGCTAGTGGGTATTTGTCATATGGGGGGGTGCCAGTAGAAACCAAGCAATTTGTTTTTAGTGAGTTTTTTTTAAATTTTAAATTAAAA